CATGTTTTCTGTGGTGGATGGGAGTTGTAGTCCAACAACATCTGAAAGGCCACCAGTGCCGGATTTATGTAGAAGCTGGAACTTCCGGGGCGGCGCCTCCGGAAAATGGCGGAATTCCCTTCGGACTGAAGGGAACCCGCTGCACGGAGGCTTGGGTCCTGCCGCTACGGCGCAGCGGGGACCCGCAAAAACCACAGGCGGAAGAAGCCTGTGGACGTGGGACTCGGCGGGCACCGAGAGCGCTCTCTCCCCTTGTACAGGAGCCCGGTACCGGGCTCCGGAGTGGGAGGTGCGTGGTGCTGTGAGTCGTCTGCTTCCTCCGTGCAGCAAAGCCGCACTGCCGTTATCGGAGAGCGCTGCCTTTTTCCTGGACAATTTGGCATCTAAAACATCTATCCGTGAGTACCTGATCTTAGAAGAGCTGAACCACTTTTAAGACTGGTGAATAAACAAATAATATTGGACTTGAAATTGAACTTAATTGGGACTCGGAATGGGAAGGTCTAAACAGGAAGTCGCCTTCCGTTCTTTTGTTATGTGAAGAAAGCAAAGACAAAATATACTAAAGCCTGAAAATTAAATTTTAAGAGAACTAGAATTCAACATCTAAGATTTCTGAACCCCCTTTGACAGCAGGAGAAAAAGGGGGTTGTATTTGGACTTTTCAATCCTGCGGAAGTGAGTTTAAAATAAAGCAATTTTCCACCGCCCTGAACCAGGAGCGGGCTGTCAGAATTGACGTTCTGAAGTTTATCCAGCTCGACAGTTAGTTAAAGAAGGGTAACATTTTGATTCTACTGTTGCCTCTTGAATTTGGAAGGGAATTTTGGATAAAGTGTTTCTGGAAAAAGAAAGATTGTTGCTGTTGCTTTTATTCCTTTTAAAAAAAAAAAATTCCATCTAGTGGAATTTAGTGAAATTACAACGCAGAGAGATTAAAAGAGAAGGACTATTGGACTATTCTCGTGGGAAAGAATTTTCTTTGACCTTGAAGGACAATGCTAGTACAAAGGCTTGAACAATTGTTCCTGGAAGGTTTTTCAAAACTAAGTGCCCAGCTGGACCAGATGCGTCAGGAGACGACCTTGAGGATGGAAGTTACCAGAGCACAGCAGCAAACAAATGAAATTCAGTTAAAGGCTATACAAGCATATGAACCTGCTGTAGTGACGGAGGCTTCAGAGATGGAGGGACCTTTGGACGGGCAAGATCAGCCTTTGAACTTGATAAATGAACTTAGGACAAACCAGATTCGGAAAGATGAAATGTGGTCAGATTTGGAAATGGGGGGATGGATCGACCCCCCTCCATATGGTTATTTGGACCTTCCGAGTCTGGTGATGGGCTATCAGAGGATTGGAGTAGCCGAAGTCTCCAAGCTTTGTGGAAATTTGAAGTGGTATTATTTGCTGTCTGGCTTGGGCAATGGGTTTGGGATGGACTTGCTGCAAAGGGTCAAAAGCATTTTCTTGCTGGAGCATCCACGACTGGAAAGGAATCATCAACAAGAGTGGCGAAAGGGGCAAGAAAGAGACTTGAGGGCCTCGGATACGAGACAACCAGGTTAAGGGAGGTTAAAAGGACTGACAATCCTGGGTCCAGGGGAGGGAGGTTGGAAGCTGACTGGACTGAATTCGACTTATTAATTTTTCTTTTTATTTTTAATATTGGGAATGCTTACAAATGTTTGAAGGATGTTGAATGAAATTACATGGCTTAAGTAAGGATTGGTAAATGATTCGTAAAAGGTAATGATGCAAGAATTTGGTAAATATTGAATATAAGCTATGAGTTTTAAAGTTTTTATATGACAAGAGGGAAAATAGAATAAGGAAACGTAATGACAGATTGTTATGAAAAAACAGAAAGGATTTGCTGTAAAAATTAAAAATTAAGAAACAAAAGAGGGGAGGAGGAGGAAGTCTAGAAAGGAAGTCAATAGAGATTGTAAAGGACTTTATATTTTTGTTTTTCTGTTTCTCTTTTTTTTTTTCTTTCTTTGCGGCTGGGTTTTCTTTTCTTTTTTGTTTATGCACTATTTTTGTTTTTTGTATCCTAAAATTTTTTTTTTGGAAATTTTTGTTGTTATTTTTTGAAAATTCAATAAATATCAATTATAAAAAAAAACAAAAAACGGATTTATGTAGAAGCTAAACAAACTATAGCTTAGGGCCCCACTCTCTTGGGGCCCCCAAAATAATTAAAGGGAAAAAAACCCCTGGATATACATTTCCAAAATATAAGATAAAAAACAAATAAAACAAAACCTACATACAGCGACAGTGTTTTGTGTTGTGTAGGCTCCTATTTGTTATGTGCAAATGGGTTTAGATACCTATTAGGTCCATAAATTACCATATAGCATATATTCAACACAAAAACCAGCGATAATTTGCTGTTGACAAAGGACAGCTGGACATATAAAGGGCTCCGTTGCCTTCAGTAGTTTAGGGCCTCATCAAACCTAAATCCGGCCCGAGGGCCACAGTTTCCCCCTCCCCTGGCCTAGAATTTTAGGCATACAATACATACCCTCCAACATTTCTCTGATGAATATAGGGACATCCTATTTCATAATAAAAATAATAATTTTATTATTTATACCCCGCCCATCCGATGGGCTTCTAACATATATAAAAACACAATAAAACATAAAATATCTGGGAGGCTTCCAAAATATATACAGTGGTACCTCAGGTTACATACGCTTCAGGGTACATACGCTTCAGGTTACAAACTCCGCTAACCCAGAAATAATAGCTCGGGTTAAGAACTTTGCTTCAGGATGAGAACAGAAATCGTGCTTTGGCAACGCAGCGGCAGCGGGAGGCCCCATTAGCTAAAGTGGTGCTTCAGGTTAAGAACAGTTTCAGGTTAAGAACAGACCTCTGGAACAAATTAAGTACTTAACCTGAGGTACCACTGTAAAAACATGATAAAACATTTTTTTAAACTTCCCTATACAGGGCTGGCTTCAGATGTCTTCTAAAGGTTGTATAGTTACTTATCTCCTTGGCTTGGCGGGTCACATAACTCCATAACTGCCAACATTTCTTCAGTGAACAAAGGGATGTCCTAAGGAAAAGTGAGACATTCCAGGATCAAATAAAAAACCGTGACGGCTTCTGGAAATCCAGGACTGTCTCTGGAAAAGAAGGACACTTGGAGGGTCTTAAAACAAATATTTTTTAATGTGCGTGCCAAGAAATGTAAAGGTGCAAATCTGACAAGCAGGAGTTTTAAAATGCATAGAATGTCTCATATATCACCAGAAAGCCAGGACTGGTTATTTCTCCCAGCTGTGAAGACCTGACTTTACTGCTGTGTAATGGTATTAAGTACATATGACCGTCCACTCAGGGGCAAGTGTGAACTCACCCCAAGATCTATGTCTAAAGTTCAGCTCACGTTGCCACTATTTTATTTTAAGGATGCTTCATGCACCACTTCTGTGTTTCAAGCTGTACTCATAATTTCTTAAGAATACAGGGTTTTGGACATGCTGTGCATGCAAACTGGCCTTAAGATGTTTTGCCAAGCAGGCTAGCAGGAGTTGAAACGGCACCCAAGGAAGTGTCATATTCAGAAATGTAAATGAGCCTACAGTACCTGTAAGAAGCTAATTACAGGTCTCAAAAAATCCATGTAGTAATTAATTAATTCCATTAGATCTCTGCAACAAGATGTAGAAGCCGTTTTTCATTTAGGTAGAAAGAAAGATGCCAGGTGAGTCAGACCGATACTTGAATTTAGAAAATTGCATGACAAAAGGTACCAATTATAACCTAAATATAGCTCTGTGTGCATGTGTGTTTGAGTTGCTTACACAGAGGTTGAAAGAACCTAGCCTTAGCCGAATCTAGGAAGCAGTTTGCTTGATATATTTTTTCAAGCGCTAAGGTATAGTAGATACCATTGGTTGCAAACCTACACACCAGACCTTCGGCCCAAAAGGGCTACTTTAGATTTCAGAGAAGTCCAGGATCTGTTATCTATTTCCCTAAAACTGATATGTTCTTGGCTCTCGATCTGCAGGTCTCCATGCTCAAAGCAGGGCAAGAGTGGGTAACCAGATGATTCTGTCAACCTCGGTTCAAGGCATGCTGTGTAGCCAGCTTTTAATTCGGCTTGCTTCCGTAACTCCAGCTGTTTCACCTTCACACAACACATAGTAAATATGGTGGACGCAGTGTTTTTTTTCTGGGGGGATGTAGGGGTACGCATACCCCTAAACATTTTGTGAATCTAGGTTTGGCCTCATTGAGGGGCAGTATTTCAATATGAGTAGGAAAATGAGAGTACACTTAAACATTTTTTTTTAGAAAAAAAGCACTGGGTGGATGTAGAAGAAGAGAAGAAGAAGAGTTTGGATTTGATATCGCTCTTTATCACTACCCAAAGGAGTCTCAAAGCGGCTAACATTCTCCTTTCCCTTCCTCCCCCACAACAAACACTCTGTGAAGTGAGTGGGGCTGAGAGACTTCAGAGAAGTGTGACTGGCCCAAGGTCACCCAGCAGCTGCATGTGGAGGAGCGGAGACGCAAACCCAGTTCACCAGATTACGAGTCCACCGCTCTTAACCACTACACCACACTGGATTTTCCTCTTTCTTTCCCTCCCATGTGCCCCCCTGCGGTATCCACTCTGCAGAGTCAAGAGGTGACTCCCAGATTAGATTTCAGGGGTGCAAGAGGGTAGGACAGGGGAAGAACAGGTCCCAACATTAAAACAACATTTTAAACAATTTTAAACAACTTACAATCATGAAAATAAGCTGGCTCCTAAAAATAAACACTCCCAAGTGCCAAAAGCCTGGGTAGCAGATATGACATGCAGTTTGCGCCCAAGAAAGAAAGGGGTAAGGACTGAGGAAGTGTGTTGAGCAGCAGTGCTGTGCCACATACATCCCTGGTGGGGTGGGAAGAATAATAGAATCGTAAGGTTGAAAGGTGTCCTGAGGATCATCTAGTCCAACCCACTTCAGTGCAGGAATATGCAGCCATCCCATATGGGGATTGAACCTGCAACCTTGGCGTTGTCAGCGCCACACTTTAACCAGTTGAGCTGTCCAGGCTCCATTGCAGAGATCCAGCTAACTTTCATCCTGTATGTTCGTCCATTCAATTCCATCTCATCCTGTAATAACCTGTATTTTTTAAAAAAACAAGCAAGCAGGCAAGCAAGCAAATGCATGGTGCATTTCAATAATATGCTCTTTCAAAATGCCTGTTTTGAAATATATTTTTATCTCAAAATGCCAAGAACGACATTCAGAAGTGTGAAAGCTGGTTGGTAAAAAAGAAGTTCTGATCCCATGAGTTATGGATTGGGATGGATCATACTGAAATTTGGAAATATGGCATTTCTCTAGTATCCCTAGGTGGGAAGGGATAGATTCTAATTTAGGAAGGGATGGGGAGAGGGGTTACTTACTTATTCTGCAAAAATGAGCTCACTTCCTTATGCAAATAGTGGTGTCCAAGTGGCTTGCATCAATAAAAAAGAGGGAGAAATATATGCATTTCAATAGTCTTAAAATATAAGCAACTCTACTAAAGTATATCACCATTATCCCACTGAAGATTATTAGGAGCATCGTAAAAATTGAATGTTTTACCCTTCAGTGGCAAAATGTTTATAATTATGCCTGTTGTGATATATGCTTTGAGGACACATTATGGCGTTATAACTCACTAACATCATCAGTGTGGGAATATATATCAGCTTAATGGATTTGTGAGTAGCATTACTACATTACAATATGAAATTCTTACTTTCTAAAACATGGCAAAGTGTATATGTTTCTGTGTGATTAAACACACAATTTGGTATTGTTTTTCATGCATTTTGTTTTTTGTATACTGCCAGTTGAATGAGTGGATGAATGAATGGATACAATCACAAACATCATCACACTATGTGGTTCCATAGCTACTGATGGAACAGGCAGCCACTAGCATTGCATAGTTGCATCTAGACATGGGGAAAAGGGGGCTTACAATCCATTGGCAAAAGGGGGAGAAATTGACACAAGGATGTGGTGGTGTTCAGCAGCACCTCTGCACTGAGTGTAGACATGGATGAATCTGACATTTTTGGTATCTGCCAGTTTCTCACTTCCCCAATGTTATGTTTACTTTAGCCATTTCTGCATCAGTTTGCAATTAAAAAAAATAAAAATAAAATTCTACATGAAAACTGAGTCGGGTCTGCCCTCTTATATGTGTGTTACAGGTGAGCACTTTAGGTTGTTAGGTTTTTTGCTCTGGTTTTTCATGTTTGTTCCTGTAAATTGCTTTGAGTCACTTTTGTGAAAGAAAGCAAAAGAAATTTAATACATATTAACATGTGCAAAAAGTAATAAATCCACATGCATTTTTCTTGCACCTTTCTCCTAATGTACACAATATTGCATACACTTTGCCTAATTCTGTAAGCCATTTCCCCAACATAATGCAATTTTTATTGTTACTTTCACTAGTATATAGTTCCACCTCATGTATGCATCGATGCCGAAATCCAGCATTGCCTGAGCAATGTGAGTGCAGCTTTCTCCCGATTGAAGAGCAAAGCGTTTGAGGACCGGGACATTCGCAGGGAAACCAAAATCCTTGTTTACAAAGCTATTGTACTACCAACTGTATGCTTGTAAAACCACTTATAAACACCATCTCCAACTCCTCGAAATATTCCACTAACTGTGTCTCCGAAAAAAATTACACATCACTTGGGAAGACAGGTGAACTAATGTCAATGTACTGGAAGAAGCAAAGATCACCAGTGTCGAAGCAATGATTCTTCAGCATCAACTTCGGATGCCTGATTATCGTCTTCCAAAGCAACTACTCTATTCCCAACTTAAGAATGGAAAGTGAAATACCGGTCGACAACAAAAGAGGTTTAAAGACGCTCTCAAAGCAAATCTAAAAAATATATAGTATAAAGCATGGATAATTGGGAAACGCTGGCTGCAAATGCTCCAATTGGAGAACAGCCTTTACCAAAGGCATCATGAACTTTAGAGAAGCACGATCTCAGAATGAAAGGGAGAAATGTTTTATTTTTTATTTTATTTTATTTTGTTTTGTTCCCAATGTGGAAGGATATGTGGATCCAGAATTGGTCTTCACAGTCACTTACAGACACACTGTTAAGACCATATTCATGGAAGACAATCTTACTCAGCTACAAGTGATCACCAAAGAAGAAGAAGACGTCTTTAGGTTGGCGACTTACACCACAGAATTTGGGAAATTGCCATATCTCGGAGGACAGCTGTGTTTCAGTTCTCATGTTGGCCATGGCTGTCAACGTTTCCCTTTTTTAAAGGGAAATTCCCTTATTCCGAATAGGATTCCTCGCAAGAAAAGGAAAAAGTTGACAGCTATGATGTTGGCTTGGGGAGTACGAATTAGGTGGGTTCACCCAATTGGGTGGGTGAACTGAAACAAATTTCACCGCCATCCCTAATGAAATAGAACATAAAGTTCTGCCTTGTGCAAGCTGGGTCCCAGCTCTGTCGTGTCCCAACTATGTCATAACCGATGTTTGTTGCTTTGCCTGCCTGCTCACAGCACAGCTTGTGCTCTGGTAATTTTGAATCCGTTTCAAAGGTATAATTAGTGTCATTTATTGTGTAAAAGGTTTTCAATCAGGGTTTGTTGTTGTTGTTTTACTGCCTTTCCCTGTTAGCTAATCAAAGTACCACCACCTCCATGTCTTCTTATAGAAGCTATTGTTATTTGCTAATCGCAGTCATATAAAGCTATTTTATGAGCAATTCAGGGGAACCTGTGGTGCTTCGTATGTTGTTGGACTACAGTTCCCTTTGCTCCATTAGTAGTACTGGCTGTCATGGGCCAGGAGTCAGCCTCGTCTGCTGAACAGCAGCCTGAAGGGGGAGAAAGTGGACTGACTCCACCTGCAACTGATCAGCCTTCAAGGACACAAAAGAGAAGACACTGATGAGAGCCAGCTGGCTTCAGCCTTCTTCAGTAGAGCTTCCAGCAGTAGTCAGATGCTGGCAACAACGCTTGTAGTTCCTGGCCCTACTTTGCTGCTTCCTGCTCTTCTTGACCCTTGACCCCTGACCCCATTGGATTCCCTGACCCCTGGATCATCTGACCATGTGGATGACCCTAGGACTGGACCTGACTTTGGATGCTGATTCTGTCTCTAGGCAAGTACCCCTCAGAGACTCTGCTGGTTGGTTGGCTTTCCACTCACCCCCAATGCTAGAGAACGCTAGTGCCAAAGGCTTTGGGTTCAAGCCAAAGGGCAATAATATAGTATATGTCTATGTCAATCTTCTTGTGTGTCAGGTGGGGAAAAAATGCTGGTCTCTAGTTTGCTATTTCTGAGTCTAGTTGTCCTGCATTGCTTTGTTGGACCTTTCCTGGACTCTCTGCCTTATTGAATTTAGATTGTTGCTAACTGGATCATGATTATGTTCTGAGAACTTTCAAGGCTTACATTGATTAAAAACTCAACAGTAACAATAAAACACAGTATATAATTAAGACTCCAGTCCTGTACACACTCAAATGGGAGCAAGTCCATTGAGGCCTATGGGTCTTATTTCTGACTACACATAGATAAGTTTGGAATACAGAAGCTTTTGCTATGAGAACTCGTAGTCCATTGATGACAACTCTTCATTTTTCAGGGTTTACTGGAAGGTTATTTTTCACATAGTAATTCTTTTTAAGGCTAGGGAAAGCTCTGCTTCCCGATTCACTGATGCACTAATCTCTCCTGATGATCTCTGCTTCCTGCTGTAATCAGTTTAACATCTGAGTTTTAACTCAGAGGTGTGGCGGGCAGTTGATGAATAAACAAAGAGTTAGCAGTCTTTTGTCAGCCTAAAATACTGCCTCAGATTTGGGCTTGATAAAAGAACAATAATTACAGTGAAGGCTGAGACTTGCTACCGCAAACCCGCAATTTTAAATAAGATGTGGCTTCCAACTATGACAACTGCTACGATACACGTTTTAAAACTCAATGTATATCCTTCACTTTTCCAATTTCCTCTTCCTGTGTGGAGGTGCATTGACTCGAGTCAATCGTGGGAGCAAATCCACAGGCTTCTATAGTTCACTCTTCCAAATCTAGTTGCTTAGATATAGCAGGGAATGGGTTTAGTGCAGTGCCTCTAATTATGTTGATCAAACCTATGCAATTGTAACCTGTTATTATGTTGACACCAAGTGGCTTGCTATAATCACACAGCTGAAATAAATGTAGCAAAGTTTTGAAATTTCAAAGCCACTCAACTTGGAGTTCATGTGGCAACCCTAGCAGTTAAAAGAAGGTTTTTTTTGTTTTTTTTTAAAAAAGGGTACAGTTGTACAAAGAATGATTGGTGCTTGCTGTGTTTACATGAGGACCTCCGTTCCCACAGGAGCTGTGCTTCCCTGTGTAGTAGTGGTGGTAGCAGTAGTAGTAGTGGTAATAATAATAATAATAATTTTACTTATACTCCACCCATTTGGCTAGCTTTCCCCAGCCATTCTGGGCGGCTTCCAGCATATATGTAGTGAGCCTGTGTTTCATATGTTGGAAGGCACATCTGCATATTGACCTACATCAAGTCTGGGAACTTGTGGTCCTCCAGATGTTGCTAGACTCCAGCTCCTACTAGCCCAATGGTCAGGGATGGTGGGAACTGGACTCCAACAGTATCTGGAAGGCCACAGGTTTCCCACTCCTGGCCTCCAATGAAAAGGCTCCAATGACTTGACTGGTGCATTGGATAAAAACAACAAATAGTGTATGGATCAGGCAGTTGGAACCTGTGCATTTTAGTAAGAATGTAGTCATGACCTCCAGCTTGCCATCATAATCATCAGTATTATTTGTATAGTGCTTTCAAGTGTTCAAAGTACTATGGATTTTCATGTATTATCTATGTATTCTCATAAATAGTCTAGGTTGTAATCATTACACTAACTCTATTACAATGCCATCTTTTTGGAAGCAATTTTCCCTAGTGTGAGGCATTATTCTATGCTGTTTCACTTAGACGCATCTCTATGCATGTACACTGAGGTCCAGCTCCGAGGGCCTTCTGGC